ACATGCAGTCGCTGAAGAATGACTGGCTGACCGATAATGTTCGTGAGATGCTACTATTGATCTACTCTACCGTTACATGGGAAGCTAACAATCGAATCATGATCATAGGTCATCTCTTTCTGGGAGGAGTAAGTTACCTGCCTACCTGAAAAGTTCCCGTCCATGGGGCTCACTAGATCAACAATGGTAGATACCTTGAACACGAATTTCTCGTCCAATATAGGTCCTCCAACATCGTCCTCCTTCGACCGAGCATGTCATTCATGATCCTGCAAACGCCAAACCCACATTCTCTGCGTGAAGCGCTTCCCGATTTTTCTCGAACTACGCATGTCTTCCTCCCTATCAACGATTGTCGCAATGTCACGGAAGCAGAGGGAGGCACACACTGGTCATTATTATTGATTTCAATTGTGGACGGGATAGCGTTTCACTATGATTCGCTGCCACCGGGCAATTTCTGGGAAGCCCGGACGGTGACAATGAAATTCGCGGCACTACTTGGACGACCCATTAACTACGTTCATTTGGAGGATTCGCCAGTACAAGAGAACGGGAGCGACTGTGGCGTGTTCGTCTGTTTGAGCATGCGCCATTTGTTACTGAAGAGATTGCTCACTGCCAACGCCAATGAGAAGGTCAGCATGAGTCTTGGTGGGCGCAAGGTTGATGCTCGGTCGGGACGCAAGGAAATGGCCAAGATTATTGAAGGCTTCCGGAAGGAGGGCGAAAGACGAAGATCGTACGTGACTATTGCTAATATTAAAGACTCGCCTGATCTAATACTGACAATCAAGTGCAGAGCGAGTCTAAGCCCCCTTGGCAAGAAGTCGACCAGTCCTCCACGGATCGAATGATATCACGATCAATTGGAACAAGTCAGGGTCGGCGTCGGAAAGGTTTGTACATTGGGAGTTGTTGATACCAGGTCTCGGATACTGCATACATAAGCCAGAGGGATTGATCTGGTTGTGCTGGAACTCGGGCGTGATAGCGCCTTGGAAGCCCTTCTGGCTACGCATTCTTCTTGTATTGTCTCTGCTGTACTTGCGCTGTGTTTTTATTGTTCTTCTAGTTATTAGTTCGGGCAGCATTTCCTATTGATTGTTGCATTTTTATGTTATGATATGATATGGGGTAATGAGAGACGTGCATTCGACTATGATGGCTGCCTTTAGTTTGTTGCATTCTAGCTTAAGCACTCTTTTTGATCATTTCCGACTCGCGTGTTTGTGTTTGGATGGACTACTTACGTTACCTGCGCCATGGTTGAATTGATACGTCTATTGTGGTGGTTTGTTTAGTATGTCTTGAATACTATATATATTACTACCACATTCTTTAGTTTGTATCATACTATACCACTCTGACCAAAGAGACACGCATACGGATATATATATTGAGTAGAACTGTGAGCACATAACGATCTCTCACTCTGATTTCCGGAATTTGCTTTAGTCTACTGCAGCTAGTGCTTTAACACATCATACTGCTTCACAGCAGTCTCATACTCCACCATGTACTATGATCCCACTTAAGACCAACAGTAGTTCTGACATTGTCACTCCATTTCTCATGTTGATCTACAATTTTAAATCAACTCAAGATTGAACGCACAGCCAACGGTTTTCATGAAATTGCACCGCTACGGTCAAACTACTACTACTATGCAATCTCCTAACCCTAGATACTCCACCCTATACTCACTACTACACCATGATACCATAAAAACTGCCCACCCAGACAGCCATACCCATCTCCTAAGGTTATTTGCTTACCCTTCCTCCTCCCATCCTCCCTCCTTCCTTCTCACTCAATATCTCATCCCACTTTGTCTCCCAGGAAACACGTTCCTTCCTTACCTGGGACTCCTAAATTTGGCGTAGTAAGATGAAGTTGGCTGTCTCCACCATAGGGCTGATGATCTACACACGCGGGATTGACGCCAACTGCTTTGACATGAGCTTGGCTTGACTTGGCTTGACATGTTGCTGTGCGTGCCCTATGTAGGTATATCATGTAACCGGGAGGATGGTATAGTCGTCGTGCTGCTTCTGGCTCTACTCCGTGAGCTTCCAGAGTCTCTATACAGAGCACTTCCTACCTTCTCCTCGAGGAGGAGACCCGTTGCATGGTAACGGTCTGTTGTTCCCTCGTATGGTCCTTCCTAGATCGCAGTCATTGTCGTCGTTCGCTGGCACTCTACCATGGCAACGAGGTGTTCCTACCTTCTCTGTATAGCGTTCCTTCTGCTTCCTGCTCATGAAGAGTAGTTGCCTCGACAGTAAATCCCCCCAGTACATAATGGCCCTCTCCCCCCCGGCCCTCTCTCTTCTCTTCTCTTCCCTCCTCACACCGTTTGGTCCCTTGATGCTAGTACTGTGATTTATCACTTTGCGTCCCCTCAAGCCCATTCGTGTTTAGCTCAGCTTTTATAGCTTCTGCTTCCGCTGCCTTGTACCTTTCTTTTCTTCCACCTCGCCTTCCCCTTACCCTTCTTATCCGTTTTTTGACCAGGTATTTCAGATGACTCACCTCTGGATACCTGGGTTGCCCTACAAGAAGGCTCCCGTAGCCGACCGGTTCAAGTCGAGTGCGCCATTCCTTTCGTTTCCCACGGCACACACGGCGCGCTTCGTCTTTCGCCGGAACTACGAGATCACCTCTTCCCGCTCCTTCCAGACAGCCTCGTCCCCCCGAACTGTCGTCCGCTCTCTCCTGCCAGTCTCGACTGGTGTCCGTTCCCTCCCCCGCAAGTCAGCTTCGCCTGACGTCCGTTCTTTTGCCCAGTTGCGACAGGGCTCGCAACTGCCGGTCTCCGTGAGACCATCCACTCCTTCCCCTGCTTCCCCACCTGTCCCAGCTGCCACTGGGGCAGGGCGTTCGCTAACAGGCTCCGTCCTTTCCTCTCGCTTGGAGGAAAGGCGGGCTTCTCGACAGGCACGCTCTCGGCCTTGGGCTGCTACACCCAAGGTCGAGGGGCACAAGAAGTCCCCCGAGGGACACCGGTCGACAACCCGCCCTTCCCCCCGAGTCGAACGAGCCTCTGGTCCGTCCGACCGGGCTATTCGCAGCCCACATATGGCGGCTCGTACTCGAAGAGCGCTCAGGCGGATCGACGAGGTTCTTGCTAAGCCTGCTCTGGTCAAGGCTGGGGCAGGTGGACGTAAGGCCAAGTCCGTGAAGTCGGTTCGTTTCGGAGAGGACACCGTCATCCCTGTGTCCTGTTGGATAGTACGGCGCGAGCATGTCTTTCCGGCCCCGCTGGCGGCCATGGGTCACCTTCAGGGTTGGAAAGTCACTCCTCGTGTGGAGCCAGACGAGGAGGGTGAGATGGAAAAGTACACCACATACTGGGGTTCAGACTCATATGTGATGCTTGACATCCACTCTGTCTCGGAGCCATGTGGACGTGACGGATGCCAGTACCAGCGCCTGGCTAGCATTGCTGCCAGGAGGCCAGGCTGGGGTCCGGCCACGGTCTTCATGGCTTGGAACATGCTGAGAGAGAAGGTCCGGCAACGTGGTGGATTCCGGCTGTGAGTCGTTGTCCTCCCCGTTTCTGTCACTCATTTTGCCCTTCTCTACCCACATTCGTTTGTCTCCTTGACTTTCTTCAGTCGTCCTTTCATTCTCGCTTTTCCTTTGTCAGCGTCTGTTCTGGACTGGCTCTGGTCTGTTTTGGGGGAAACAGACCATCCAGGTTATGCTGATCGGGTAGCAGATGCTGGCGTGTATCCTGCTGTGGTATTGGTGGCGCATTATGCACCGAAGAGAGGTATGCCTGTCATCAGTGAGTGTGGAGCGAATACTGACGATTGAATAGGATTCTGGAGCGAGGGTTCCCTAACCACGAGGGGTAATGACGCACACCTGTACGCAGGGTTTAAGTCGTAGTCCCTTACTCGGAGCGTCAGCAACCCGTTGTAGCTCCCGACGAACGAGACGAGACGAGACGGACGAGACGAGACGGACGAGACGAGACGACGCCGACGAGACGACGACCGACCGACCAGCGACAACGACAACGACAGCGACAACGACAACGACAGCGACAACGACAACGACGACACCGATTCGCCGGAGGCCGATTGGGGGTAAGTAGCTTCCTATTGACAGGATGTAGGGAAGAGAAGCTAACAGCATGTAGATGGTGGTGGGTCATCGACAATACGACAATATCGACGCCTCCTTCGACAGACGACGACGACGACGACACGACGACAACCGACGGAGCTACACCGGGCGGCTAATTACGCTTCACCGGAAGCGAAAGAAGGTATGTGTTACTTCCAGTATAGATTAGTATATGCTAACTGATAAATGTAGACGGAATATTTCCCAATCATGCGGATGTACTGGGAGGGAATATTTCGTCTTGGGTTGAGTTTGGTGGCTGGTGACGGAGAGGTTGGAGGTAAGTAGCTGCTTGGGATGATTGAAGATGAAGAAGCTAATGAATCTAATAGATCAGGGAGATTGTTGATCAGGAGGATAGCTGGACTGAGACCAAGCGGAGTGAAGTGGGATGGTATTGTTAGTAGATAGTTCAAAGACCATGGCATCATGGCACATTTGCTTGGGTTTCTGGCGTTGGGTCACGGTTCATTATTATCTTTCTTTTGTTTATTTCATATGGCCCGGGCGTTTGGTGTTATTGGCTTTTGTTTTTTTTGCTATTCATTTCTTTTGTTGGTGTTGACGAGCAGGAATTCCTGTCTCTAGTTTGCTGCTTCTTTTTTCTGGAATGGATCGTCATTGCTGTTCCATCAGTGTTCGTTGAGTATGAGATTGTAGTTGTAGTTGGTGGAATGACTTCAGTGACTGAGTGGAGAGCAGATGTATTAACGATTTAACCAAGTATGCAGCAACCCTAATGCAGACAATAAGATGCACCAATCCAAGAACAGAACAGGACATAACAGAAATACCAACTCAACAAACGAGATCAACCAAATCAAACAATGCAATAAACTTATCACAAATAACAAACTCCACGCCTCATCATTCCTCCTAATAGATGGATAAACCAAAGAATGAAATAGATTAAGCCATCAACTCATTCCACAAATCCGCCGCATCCTCCCCAACAAGCCCACTACTATTCACCTCATCCTCCGCCGCATAGCACGTATCAACGGTCTCCTGCGGCGCATTACACGGACTAATCAACCGATTACACACAAAGTTCATCAACGTATCGATGGTCGTGGAACTCCCGTGCTCGAAATCCACTTGGTTGTTCGTGATGAAACTCCATTCTGTCCTCCAGTCTAACCCGTATTGGTATGAGATGCTCGGGTCGGAACATTGCCCGTAGTCGTTACCACTGGAGGTGTTGTTGTTGTCGTCGCCGTCGTCGCCGTCGCCGTCGCCGCTGGGGGTATCGGTGGGGCAGGTTGATGTGTCTGTTGTGGTGACTGTTGCTGTGGCAGTCACTGTTGAGGCAGGGAGAGTCACAGTATCCGTATCCGTCTCAGTAATAGTAGCAGTAGCAGTCCAAACATCCGTCTCGGTAATAGTCGGTCCGGGAATAGTGATCGAGTCTGTGTGTATGATGGTGAAGGGGACGGTATCTGTCGTTGTGGATATCGCTGTGTGTGTGGTGGTCACCGGGGGTGGAGTGATAGTCGATGTATCGGTGATAGTGGCAGTGATGACATCTGATTCGGTTTCTGTCACTGTTGCTGTTGCGGTTGTGGTCTCGGTGATGGCTGGGCCGGGGATTGAGACTGTTGCTGTTTCTGTTGTTGTCGCTGTCGCTGTTTCTGTTGCTGTGGCTGGACAGTCGGTTGGTGGTGGGATGAGGCCGGCTGTGTTTGATTCGGTGGTGGTAACCGTGATTACTTGGGTTGGGCTGGTGTATTTGTTAGTTCTGGTGGATAAAGATAGAGGTCAATTGGGGTGGGGGAAGACATACCCCGGCTCGATGGTCGTGATGGTGATGGTCTGCACGTCGTTGTCGTTGTTGTTGTTGTCGCAGCCGTTGCCGTGGTGGTGATCATCTTCGTCATCATCATCATCATCATCATCATCATCATCATCATCATCAGAATCAGAATCAGAGTCAGAATCATCGTCGGAATCATCGTCGGAATCATCGTCGGAATCATCGTCGGAATCATCGTCGGAGTCACTGTCGCTATCACTATCCCAGTCATCGTCGCCATCATCATCACCCTGGTCTTTATGATGATGTTTATGACGGACTTGGTCTGTGATATCGTTATTGTCATCGTCATCCTTCCCGCCGTGGAGGTTCATAGTGCAGTCCTGACCATCGGCACAGGCGTCTGCATCGGGCACTTGCACGTCTACATTCACGGCTGTAGGACGCGTCACGGCGAAGGGGAGGGCCTGGAGCAGCAGGAGAGGCAGTAGCCAGGTTGTTTGGCGGACCATGGTGGTGGTTTAGTCTTGAGATGTTCTGTCTGTCTTGTGGATGGACTGGATAGTATTGAAGAAGTAGATGCTATGGGCTGAATAGCTTCAATTGGATTACTTCGTAGGATACAGAATGATGCTGCTGCTGGAAGTGATATTATTTCGAAAGACAAGGAAACCTTATACATCTTTATACTCAACCTCATGGCTACGGATATAATCTCCGTAGGGAGGATATTACTATCTCGATGCAGACCTAACGATGAAAGCAGGCTTCCTCAGTAAGTATGTCCTGAGGACAGCCACGAATTAGGCGATGAGAGTGAATTCGTCCATTCTCCAGACCATACAGCTGTATGCTATAATGTCGATCTGGGGACATATTTCACTAATAACACAAGACTTCCTAAGAATAATATGACAAGTTGACGACCTCGTCAAGATCAACACACTCAAGAACACTCAAGAACAATAAAACAATGCCCTTTGTCACCCGCTTTCGCTGGTCCGGCCAGTTTCTTATTGTAGGGTCGGCCCGTTTCCGGTCCACTGCATTCCAGGAAAGTCTTTAGGCATGTCGGGCCAGTATCTATGCATTCCCTCCCGGAACCGACCTGTACTCTAGAAGATGGATGAAGATACTAATACTTGAATCATTTAAGATCTAGGACGTCCTCTGGAAACGGTTCATTCTTCTCTGTTTGTATCAAGAGGGAGATGCGGATGTTGAATATTGCAATCACGTCTTGGCGGTTCCGGACGCGGATCATAATGTCTGCATCGCTGGTATGCTATGCATGCCGTTGACCCGCGGGGAATTAGCCCCTTGGTCTTCTCCAGTTTGTCCTATCTGGAGTAGAATCTCCGAGTTTCGAGCCAAGTCTAGGGTAAGCTGGTTCTGAATCGTGGTGATGTCTTGATCAGCGCTAGTGATGTAATATCCACTTCCAGACAGGATTGCCGACAGGCACGACGCTCTACGTCTTAGTGCCGAGATTAACTTCCCATACCAATGGGTCGGTGGATACACAGCACCTCAACTTCATCTTGCCACTTCCAAGAACTCCCGCTATGCAGGCATCAGGTTTGCAGTGACTATTGCAGTAAATACTCAATACTTCATTACTCGCTCTGCGCGCTGACAAGATCAAGGCCAGTTGGATGCGGCCGATAGACAAATAAAGCGTAGGTACAATGGACGAGAACTCCTGTAGAGGAATTTATAGTAAAATCCAGAAACCCGGAGCATCCCTCCGACAATAGTCAGTTAACAACAGTATAACAGCGTACCCCGAAACGCCGGCCAATGTTGAGAAATAAACAAAATGCAAAGCGGAAATTGTGTACACAGAGGCAGAAATGAAAGGCAGGAAGAATAAGCACCAAGGTTATAGAACGTTGAATCATGAGCCAGAGTGCCGAGCGTATAATCTATGAGAAATATGAAAGGCCGAACCATGAGTGGAAAGGACAGTGCTAACATATGTACCAAGAGGACAGACAGGGTGCCAACGGAGGAATTTGCAATGGGGCCGCACGCCCAGACAATCCCATCACTTCTGATTGGGATATACCCAGAGTCTAAGGCGGAGTAGGCGTTTGGCGGGCCTCTTGCTCGTCAGACCGCTGCTTCTCGCGCGTGCGCATATACATTCCCTCCGACGGAGTGTCCGGTGCTGCCGAAGGATTTATCGAGCGGGGAATCGCCTGGGATAGTTGCTGCTGTTGCTGTGCGACAATCTCTCTCGCATAGAACTCCACAAGCATCGTCCCGTATGCTTCAAGCTCTTCAACAGGAATCGATAGGCGAAAATCGTTCAACAGTAAGAATTGAAGTTCAAGGTGGTTGAGCTCAACCAGCGGCAGTCCGCCAACCTGTAACGAGTTAGAGATCATAGTCTAATGGATGATATGTGGAAGCCACCTTTGCATATCGAGAATTAGTGTAAAATACGTCCGAGAAGAATTTACTGGCACAAGTTACGCCTGCGATAACTAGCCGGTGAATGTTGAAACTATCAACAACGAAAAAGTGGGAGAACTGATCCTCATCCTCCTGTGGTTGGAGAGAGGGCGATATGGACGACGGACTGGACGGGTCTTGTGCTGCGATTCCCGACGAGGATGGCGGGGTTACCAACGGTGACGCTTGTGTCGCATGTGTCGACGACCGCTCAGCCGACGATGGCTGTGAACTGTTGCCACTTGGCACGGTAGACGTGCCATCCCAGCGACGTCGTAACCGGTCGAGCTGGCCCTTATTGACCAGTTCCGTCATGCGATCAAAATATACCAGCAGACTGAGAAAGACCTCATACGTTGTAGGACAGTACTTGTGTATCCTTGTCAGATAGCTGAGAATACTGATGCTGGGCACGTTTTTGCCGTGAAATGCAAGCACACTGGTAGCCTGGGAGCTCAGAGTGGTGGTGCCATCCGGGGGCGGAATGTGTCGATGAACCGACTCGTGATGCAGGTCATTCGTCGTTGTAATTTTCATCAGCAGTCCAGCAACCATCTCGATTATGTCCGTGACCGGCATGGAACTAATCTCGTACTGGCGCTCTTGGGCCCACTGCCCGGGTGCCTGATCCCTCTGCGCGAGGAACTCTTCACTGGCAAAGCTTTGAATGTGTGACAAATCACGGACTTTGATCCGACTCGGAGAGTTGGCCTCCGACCCGCCCAGGGAGCGGAGGGACTGGAACGTCGGCTTTAGCTGAGGCGAAGCTGGAGAGGACTGACTCCCCATATGCGGTGCCGAGGTTGGTACCGCTGTTGTTGCATGGCTGCCACCAGTGTGATGAGAAGATGAATGTGCTGCAGGATGAGAAGCGGAGCCCGGGCGCGATGGATGGTGGGAGGTGGTAGAGGTCATTGAGGCTGATGGAGGATGAGTGTAGACGGATCCCGGAGTGGCAGAGGACGCTCGCGTGGATGGTTGGGAACTGGGTTGAGAGGGCCGACTGATGTAGGCCGGTACATCATGGGTTGGGTGGGAGGGGAGGCGAGTAGAGCCGGCGGCGGAGGTTGACGGCGGGGCTGTGGATGAGGTGGGGGTGGTATTGGACGAGGCCGACCTAGAGCTCCCGGACTCCAGGTGTGACGAAGGGTGGTGAGAGGGCTGCTGATGAGTCGAGGACCGATACACTGATTCTGAGGAAGTGATGGCGCCTCCCAACATGTTGTAGGAGGTATCCATATAATCCGATCGCGGATGGTTTACGACGACCGATCCCATATCAGAGCCGACGGGTTTAGAGGTCAGACGCGGGTGCTTCTACTCGGTACAGGGCCGGCGGCCGAAAGTCAGCGATTACTTTGAAGACCAGTGATGAGGGGTCATGTCATTGGGGGAAGAAGGCCAAACAAGGAACAGATTCCTCCGTAAGGCATCGCAAGAGGGACAAAGCACCAAACAGCGAGAGGGGAATGGAGAGATACCGGCAGGATGATTAGGTTCAGTCAATGATCCAAGAATGGAGGACAGTCTGGATCTGGAAGATCGTGGCGTGGAGGGTCAGAGCACCTGGGTAGGGGAGGGTGTGTATGTAGTAGCTACAAGAGTAAAAGTAGGAGCAAGCAGTTAAACGTGAACCCGACCCAAGCCTGAAGCGGGAAGGGAATCACAAGCGATAGACGGCAATGGGATGGTCCATTGCGATGAATCAGCGAGGGACAGGACAGGACAGAACAATCCGGGGCGAGATGGGGAGGAATGAGGAGGAGGGATGAGCAGACAGGCACGGAGAGCACTATCAGGCTATAGAAACCGGACTGAGGGGAACGGAGGATAAGGGGAATGGGGATTAGGGTGGCGGAGAACGATGGGAAAGGTGGATTTGGGGTGAGTTGAATGGATGGATGGATGGGTGGATGGATGGATGGATGGATGATGCAGGAAGGGAACAAGAGACTCTCGTCCCGGCAAGGTTGGGATCCACACCCGGCCATCGCCCAGTCAATCATCTCCCATCCACCTTTGCCCATCTACCAACATCCACACCCTCTACATCCCCCCAAGTTGATTGATCAAATGGCAGAAGAAGCAAGACGAATTAAGACGAGTATTCATTGACACCTGAAAGGTTCTCCTGACAGGGGGAGACAGGCAAGAATGCGACCTGACGAAGATATGATACCATGAGATGATCCATCATCTTTGATTCACCTACGTACTTACTGGCTATCGACCTACCGGGTATCACTAATTGTTCGACTGGATCTACTCGGGTCCAGGCTGCACCGGAGACATCCTTACTGATTGGTACAGCAGGGTCTCCCCATGAAGGTTCCTTGCAGCGATATCAAGCAAGTCACCTTACCGACCGCGCAGAATGAGGAAGCCCTGTCGTCATGAGATCGCATCAACAGCCACTCTTGCAACCTGCTTATCTTCAACAACTTCTACCTGATAACTACGGAGTCATATTGTGACTGATTGATTATTATCTATCTATCATCCCAAGAAGAAGGATAAGGCGAGACTGCGACTAAAGAAAGAAAAGAAGGAGACGCACACCCTCAACTCACTGTTCAGGCCTAAACCAGATAGTCGCATTTAGGATCATCCTCTGCTTGGGGGTGCAATGGGCGAATGGCGGCTCCTCTGCCGCGCAGGTGTCCAGCAGCGCCGACTGATTGGTGGCGGCTCCAGACGCTCTGGAGGCAATGGCAGCCGTCATTGACCTACCATCTATCTTGGCCTGGCCCCCTTATTCCAAGCTAGCAGTTCCTTAGACTGTAAGTATTACAGTAATTAGTTGATGGCTCTCAAGTTCAGTCTGTGGGTAAGCAGCGGGGAAGCTATTAATCTAACGGTGCTCCGTAGTGGTATTTAGTCTAGATGATGTGATCGTGCCATACTCCGCGCGTGGGATCCATGGATGGTCAAGACTACTGTCCCGTAGCCTGGGATATCCGGAATTAGTCGACCCCGTCTAGTGACCCTGGCTCCCCTAGATAAGGGCGGATCCATTATTGGGGACAGTCTTAACGGTCACTGGCATACTGGTCAAGTGATAGTGCCTCGAACAAGCAAACTATAAGATGACGGGAAGTGACTCCTGAAGAGCGCTATCAACCCACGCTATCACATCCCCTTCCCTAATCTAAGATCCCATTCGGTGAAGATACTCCCCATCTTGATTGATATCTAGCAGTCTCAGATCTGGAAATTTCCTGTCTTAATCTTGGGTTATAGCGCTACTCTGTAGAACAAATGAATAGCTCGTTTAGCAGCTAACAACAATAAAATCATCGTCCCGTATAGATACATTCGTTAATTGGTAACGCCCGGTCCAGTGTAACCCGTGTCCGGCAGGTAGAGGTGTCGCTGGGCGCCCCGAGACGTCAGCACCACCAGTCGGATGACACCACCCGAACTGCCATCCCACTTGATCGCTTCTTGCAGTGCTCCGCGGACGAAGTTGATGCCTTCCTCCTCTGTCATGTTCTCCCTCCAGTGAGTATCACAGTACCCATAGATATAGGTCGATCCGGATCCGCCAATGGAGTACGGTTGCTTGTGAAGAGATCCGCCCAAGGGTATCGAATACACCTGACCTCCGTGCTTTGGATCGTATCCGGCAATGATGATACCGGCACTATGATTTGTTGGTCAACAAAGCTTGCTCATTCCAGGCTGACCCCGTGGTATGCCTACCTTAGCATGTCCTTGTTCTCGTAACATAGCTCTTGGAACAGCGATGCGGCGACCTGAGTACTCGGCGCCTCGTTGTTGGTGATTGCGTACATGTTGAGGTGGTAGGACACAATGTCTGCCACAGCCTGGGTGTCCGCGGCGGAACCTGATCGACAGCACCAGATTGTGTCATGGACCTGCGTCAACTTGTCGGTGACTCGGTTGGCGATGTAAGCTCCGGTTGTCGTCCGACTGTCTGCACCCAATATAACACCATCCTTGAAGTTGATCGCCATGCTGTATTTCGTCAACATATCGGACATTGCCTCGGGGCTGACTGAAACTCACATCGATGTTCCTAGGCTGTACCGATGAGTTAGTGACCGTTCTCAAGTCTCATTGAGCAAATGGTTGGGGGACATACTTTACTTCTCCGCTCTTCAAGTGGTTCATATCAACATGGATGCCATCTGCAATAACTCATCAACTCCTGCTCGACACATTATCAATTCATAGCACGAGACCACTAACCCTCGCCGAGCATCCCCGTCATACCGTGACCGACCATGATGGCTGTTTGAAAATTGACAGAAAGGGGTGATTAATTCCTATCTATGAAAATATATCCCACCAAAAGAAACAGGGTGTGATGGTGATGAAGCGTGGATGGAAAGCAAACGTTAGTGCAGCGATGGTCAGAGGTGGTTATGAGCTCTGACGGAGCTCTCCAGGCAGGTGAACGCGTTACGTTGGCAGCTGGAGCTGATTCCGCCGGGCGGTGAGAGACAGCCACGTTCCTACTGGGTGGTTCCTCTTCCCCCGCAAGCCTCCTGAACGACTTCCCCCAGCCATAGAAAGCAGCCCCCGATGAAACAAACCGACGCATTATCTCCCGCTCCAGGCTGCAGGGTATCTCGCCGGATCGTGACCCTCATCACTTGAGTTTCCCCCTTCCTGCATTTTCCAGCGCTCCGACCGTCAATTCAAGCATTTCCACCCTCTCCGTTCCAGCCGCACCACTCTTATCTCTCCGCGACACTGCCTGGTTAGCCAGTCTACTACCATGTCGGAGTCGCCGCCCCCACCGTCATGGAGTATCGCCGGTATGGCCAACAGTGCCGTACAATTCTTGCGATTGCCAGTTCTGGCGTCTTCCGGGTTGGCTGTGGTAGCCAGCGGTCTTTTGTACTTTAAGCAGAAGTTCGTACCCCGTCATCAGACGTCCATGGACAACATCTCAGTGGTGTGTCGTTAGACGCTGACCCCTTTTGCAGTGAGCTCATTTATCCTCGCAACGTGCCCGTGGATGCGCGGACAAATGTCCCCAAGCCCCAACAGTTTGGAATCACAGACTACGAAGATCTACAAATTCCGACCCCCGATGGAGAGTCGTTAAATGCCCTGTTCATCCGCCCTTCGCGCAAACGTATAGGCCCGAGTATCACCGTGTTGATGTTCCATGGAAATGCTGGAAACATCGGGCATCGCATCCCCATCGCAAAGGTTCTACAAGATGTCTTGGGTTGTAATGTCTTGATGGTGGAGTACCGTGGTTACGGTTTGTCGACAGGTACACCGGACGAGGCGGGCTTGAAAATCGATGCTCAGACGGGGCTAGAATATATCCAACAGCGACCGGAAACCCGAGACAGCAAGATTGTGGTATATGGACAGAGCTTGGGTGGAGCCGTGGCGATCAACTTGGTTGCCAACAATCAAGGCAATGGTGCGATCGCTGGACTAATCCTTGAAAACACATTCCTGAGTATTCGCAAACTGATTCCCACGTAAGTCCTGCTCTATGACTGGTTGCCGACCCAGGCGCTGTTACCCACGTCCTAGGCCAGGCAATGCTGATTCCTCTTATAGGGTCTTCCCTCCTGCTCGTTACCTTGCCCGTTTCTGCCACCAGTATTGGACCAGCGAGGATATCCTACCTAAGATCACACAGGTCCCCGTTCTCTTCCTGAGTGGGCTGAAGGACGAGATTGTCCCGTGAGTGCCCTCAGGAATTGTTGTACAAGCTGAGTCCCAGCACGTCACTAACATGCAGCTTATGACCAGACCATCCAACATGACTCAGCTCTTCGCTATCTGCAAATCCGACCGCAAGGTTTGGCGTACACTTCCAAATGGAGGACACAATGACAGTGTTGCTGAGCCCGGCTACTTCGAGCATATTCTCTCTTTTGTGAGGGAGGAAGTCCTCGCGGACGGTCAATAAACCGGCCGCCCAGATGGCATTGGGGCAGCACCACGAACTTCGGCCATTGACGTGAATCGGTCGCTTTTATATCTCGGATCGCTCTGATGACACTGATGCTTTCCTTGGTGCTGTTCCTTTACCAACTGCCAACGAACTCATGATCACTTTCGACCCTTTGCTCTCACAATATCCCTTTCTGCGAAGACCACTCGTCCGCAGTCATGTCTAGGGCAAGGTTCTTTTACAGTGCCCTTCACATGTGGCTGTCGTTGCATGAAGAGCTGCTCCTTATACACCCAGTTTAATTCCCCTTACGACTTGTTCCCGAACAGTCTATCTGCTGCGGTTTCTAATTCACACCCCTTAATCCCCGCAGTATCGGTTCGAACACTGTACCCATATCAAATATGTTTCGACAGCAACTTGCTCGCCTGTTCTTTGTCATTGCTCCCTGCGTGGAGTCTACCTTTTTGTCTCATGATATTCATGCTCATGGCGTTATTGACTCTGGCTATTTTCTCATTATTTCCGCACTGCTTCCAAACCCAGGCGGTGTTTGGCTTGTCTCATCTGGCTGCATTTGCTGACACTCATGGATTTATGAGTTGAATCTACGCGTTCGCACTAGAATTAGGAAAGACCTAGCAGCCAAGATCGTCTATCTAATGAAGATTCTATCTAGTCCAATGGATTAGTTAGGTCAAAACAGAATCTTGCGACTCCTAGGGTCGATCGTACTGTGTACTAAGTTATAGCTTCGTAGTAGTAGGCATGCCATGCACCGCTAAAGAACATAATGACTCAGCAACATAGTGGCGCTGCACAAAGCACGGCCCCACGTGGATAATCGGCGAGCGGAAACGTCCAAGTCAAGCCATCAATTAATGGCTCATGCCATCATGCAAAGTTCAATAGTCATCCCACCCGTTCGTTGCTGGCAACCTCCAGCTCCCTAATTCCTTCATTCTACATACTCGCCGCCATTGTTTCGCTGTATATTTCTTTTGTTCCACGTTCTTTCGCTTGTCGTTCCTTCTCTTATTAAACAGGACACGAGTCCTCTACCCCCGTACCAAGCATACCCTAGACGGGCCACTTGGCGATCTGGCCCGCCATTGACGGCATTGATTTGCGATATCCTTGAAACCCACCACTTTCGTACCCACCATGGCGAACCGTCAGATTACTCGACGCATTCTCATCAGTACCGCGATTGCCGTCTTCCTGCTCTTTGTTTTCTTTATCCGACCTGAAGGACCGCCGAGTCCCGCGATCCGTGCCCCTGGTCACCTGGAGAAGTCTACGCAGGCCGTGGTCTCCAAAGATGACCTCACCAAGGGCGATGTTGTAATGCCCCGGCTGGGGAATGCAACCGCGAAGTAGGCTAAAGCCAAATGCTATTTCGCATTCTTGACATTTACTGATTATTCACCACCAATGGCAGAGCCGAATTGGGTCGTGCGACATGGAAGTACTTCCACACCATGCTAGCTCGATACCCCGAGGACCCGACGGAGGAGCAGCAGGAAACTCTTCGTTCCTTCATCTACCTTTTTGCGCGACTCTATCCATGGTACCTACCCACACACCTTTCTCTCTGCGCTGATCGTGGCTGCTGACTATTTATCAGTGGGGAGTGCGCTTCTCACTTCCAGGGTCATCTGAAAAAGTACCCGCCGCAAGTTTCGTCGCGCAACGCGGCTGCAGGATGGGGCTGCTTTATCCACAACGAAGTGAACACCATGCTCGAAAAGCCGATCTTCGACTGCAATAATATTGGGGACTTTTACGACTGCGGCTGCGCCGAGGATGAGGAGGGCGAGGGTGGTGAAACTTCGAAAGATAAGAAGAGTCAGAGCGCTGCTCGAGACGAGGTTGATAGCGATGATGCCGTTTCGCCCGTTGAGATATCCAGGGAGCCGTTAGTTACGTCCTTTGATTACCACGGGAGCGAAGATACTGATCAGACGATCTAGGACTACGCGGGGTTGAACAGGACCGCAGAACTTTGGTATCTAATCCGTGCACCTGGTTGCGTTTATACCCAGTACTTGTTCTTGCATGCTCCACCAGCGCAGGATCGCTGGGTGCATGGGGCCAGGAGCAGTACATTAGCGTATGATTTCTACAGCCACACTCATTCAAATTCCGCATTATTGTCCAGACTTTGTACTTTGCATGCGAATTTCATCTGCCCTGTAAGCACCCGGACTTCCCGGAAAGGGCTTCGCTTCTCACACAGCAATTGTGGGAGGGTAACAGGAATTCTGCAGTCACACAGCTGTAAACGAAGCTTCTGGCAGGTTCTCAGCAGATGCGAGCGAGCGATGGCCGGGGCGGCCGGTAAGGTTGCGAAAGTATGCGGCATCGCGCGCATGACTGCAGAGATGCATCTGACTGGCGCGGCTGACCAAGACTAACGTAGCCTGTTGCTGAACACAACAAGGCACGGTGTATTGCCTCGCTCCGCTACAGCAAACCTCTATGGACAATTACCCAGTTTGCGATATAGTCAACTAGTCAACTAGTATTACCGACACCACGCTGCAAGCGTCAGCGACAAGGCTGAAACTTGACTTCAAATAGATGAAACACTCCGCCATGAGGATGCCCGATTCGCGCGCGACCCGGGCCACAAAAATAGAAATAGATGTCGTTAAGCCAGCGCCAGCGGCATCGCTGAACCGAGCCTGGCTGTCAATGAAAGGGTGGCTCGCACCGAAAGTCTAATCAACTGTAGACTGACGATCTCACTCACCTCAACTCAAGCCTATGGAACAGGGAGGTATCATTGTGCCTAGATAGCTGGCGACGGACTCGTATCGAAACTCTCCCGCATCATCTGTAGGATCGCCTTTTCTTTCGCACCCAGCGCTACACTAATCGACCCGGTGAAGGCGGGTGAAGCTGGCTGGTGACTGGTTGATCCGCCCATCTTGCTGCACGGCGTCAGGTCTCCTGATAAGTCCGTGCTGATGTCCGGATGTGCAAGCGCTACACCCGTGGTCTACTTGATCCACAGGTCATCATGTCGGCGTGTGCATGGGAATCCTGGGCCTTGTCGACCGAAGGGCGCGTTTCAGGTCTGGGAGTCCAGGTCAATCTGACTCCTGAAGGTCATGGTGGAAGATGAGTATGAAGAGGAGATAGGCTGTATTCGATGTTTTCAGTGGAGCTGTTCTTTGAGCAGGTCGTATTCTCATCGGTAAGAAGGAGGCGCATGATTTCTATCTAATTATCTTTGTTTTCTTGGATTTGATTGCGGGGTTGGAGGGTCATGGCCTGATTCGTCAGGTACCAAATGCCTGGCACAAGGTTTGGAACAATCCCAAAGCAGATAAGCGCCACCCAGAGTTAATTCTGGACTTTTGACTTTTTGGCCCTTTTTTGCCCTTTTTTTTTTCCTGGGCGAGGGAACAAGAAGCAAAAGCACAGCAGTGAGACGCAGAGGCGAGAGCAGGGAAGCTTTTTCTTGAAGGCGCCGAGTGCTTGGGATCCAGTCCGCATCTATTTATCTGACCTGCTTTGCTTATTCTGCTCGGCTTGTCCGACCATCCCTCGTATTTGTTTTGCGCCGTCAACAACAATAACAATCACCACCACTTCCACGACTACCACCATCACCCGTTTGTTTAAGTTGGATTGAATTGGATTGGACTTCGTCGTCGCGCAGGGATCCATTCGTCCCAGAAAAGACTCCATCGCTTGGTCGGCTTATTCCCCGACAGGTTCAGTGCGGGTCCCGACAAACTAGCGCCCTTCTCAATCGCCGTCTTTTCTTCTTTTTCTTGCCTTGCGACTTTGAGTTCTCAATATATCACTGGGAAAGTCCCGACTCGTGCAGACACTTGAATAGTACGCGCACCACATCGCCGGGTCATTCAATATGGTTTCCTTCTCCTGCGAGGTGAGTCGTCCTTGTCTCTCGTTTGTCACGAGCAGCGTCCTGCGCGGAACTCTGCTGGAAATCGTGCTAACTGGCTGCCTTCTTGATCTCTAGGCTTGCGGTGATATTCTCACCAAGAAGAAGCTTGATCCCCATCGCAACCAATGTCGCGGCGCCACCTTCACCTGCATCGACTGCATGGTGCACTTTTACGGAACTGACTATCGGTCGCATACGGTATGGCTCTTATACCCCTCCGCTTGTGCTTTGCCGCGGACTATATACTTTGCGCTTCGTCCAACGGGTCGGAACTCTCTGCGCTATATCTGCTTGTTTGATTGGTGGATATGAGGGCTCTGCTCTTGTTGGAACAGTGCAAGCGCACTTTGTGAACAAGAATGAGTGACTGACTTGTCTTCTTAGTCGTGTATGACCGAGGCGCAAAAGTACCAGGGCGCGCTCTACCGGGAGAAGCCTACGAAGAACCAACGCAAGGCACAACAGAACAATGGCAAGCAGAATCAGAAGCAAAACAACGCTCATGGTCACCGCGCCCCGTATGTCGAAGATGCGAACGACACCGATAACCCGCCTGCGGCTCCTACTCCCCCGGTGACTGGAAACGACAAGTCCCAGGAGGCTTCTACGAACGGAGACAAGCAAGTTAATGTCTTTGACTACTTGGTGGCAGAAAAGACCCCCAACGCGTCCAAGGTCTCTCTGGGCGGCTCTAAAGAGCAGATGAAGATGGTCGCCAATGCTCCCTCGGTCTTCGAGCCCAGCAAATCTCTGACCCGCGCCGACACCGATGCGGAGGAAGAGAACAAGAACTATGACGTCGCATATGAGGAGAATGGTTACTCCTACGGAGCTGGCCCCATCAACCAGTCGGTGTATGACGGTAAAGCCCCGAATGCCTCCATGGAATTCATGACTCCGGCACCGAAGAAGAAGAAGGATCGTTTGCGCGGCGAGGACAAGGTCAGCGGCACGACCAGTGAGAAGAAGCGCAAGCGCCGCACCGACGATCACGACATGGAAGAAGCCGACACCCCCATGTTGGATGCGCCATCCAGCGTGCTGAACAACCCGGGCACACCCATGCTGAAGCACTCTGGTCTGACTGGTGGTCTGGACCGGATGCTCCGCTCGCCGTCTCAGGACGGAGAAGATCACCCTCGTCGGCGTTACCAGGACCCCTCGTCACCCATCAAGCGTTCTCGCCGGGACAACAAGGACGCCAATGGTGATGGTCTCGGAATTTCGATGAAGAACCGCGCTGAACGTCTTGTGTCGTCGATGTTTGGTGGATCGTCGGTCTCAGGAAGTAGCGTGAACAGCCGCGAAACCGGCAAGGCTGCCCGGGCCAGTCGACGCGGGTCTCCGGACGAGGGTCGTTCCAAGAAGTTGCCCAAGGTCCGCAACGCCTCGAACGGCCAGGCCGAGTCTGATGTTAGCAAGAGCAAGCGTAAGAGCAGCGCTCAGACGGACGGTGATCGGCCGTCGCGCCGTCAAAAGCAGATCGAGCACACCGACTCTCGCCACGACGATGACGGCCGTGAAGTGGTGGTCTACCAGCAGAGCGGCGTCCCTGATGGCCTGCAGCGCCAGATGGCTACTCACTTCCTCTCATTGGTGACCAAGGGCCCCGAAAGCACGCGCGGGTTCTCTGTGAACAAGGTTCTAAAGCGATTCCACCGCGATTTCACGGACGAATTTGACGACAGCGACCGTGGACGCGATCAAGGCCGCAGCCGTGCCGATCGGGAGCGCAGAGCCGATGACGAGAAGGAGTTGTGGCGGACACTGCGGTTGAAGCAGAATG